AATACTGTAATAATATCACTGTGTGATTTTGAGTGTGGGTCACTGTTCATACATACATACATATGTACCTCATATATATGTATAATAAAATTTTCTGTTCGTAAATGGTTCTATGCATGCAAAGCTTGCGGCAGAGCACCAGCAAACCGTATAGCGGTTCTGCACCGGTGCAAGCAGCAAAGACTGCTTTTACACAGTTCAAGTATTGAATTCAATTCTGCTCGCATGTGGAAGAGAGGGGGTGAGAAGAAAAGGGACGAGTACACATGCGTCTGTACCGTCAAGTCGTTTCAACTTTCTTGCTTTGCTTTTAGCATTTTCGTTGCTTCCCATTAAAAGAACCAAAAACTTGAATTCAACAGAATTGAAACGTGTAAAAGCAAATAGAAAACACAAAAGAGAATGAGCAAGAATTGCTTTCAAGTACTTGAATCATGTAAATCGGCATAAATATACTACTGACGCACTTTCACGCATTACCATTAATGAACTAAAAGACTCGACAAAACATGTTTTAGCAATGAAAACGCGGGGGGTGAAATAACACAAACGGCAATAACGCAAATTTGTGTTATTTCCCAATTGAATGTGAAATAACACAAATTTGCTTTATTTCATTTCTCGTTGAGCAATAAGACCAACTTTTAAACTTAACAATTTGAGTAATAAGGCAAACTAGTGCACATATGTAGGTAGTCACCCAGTTACATTTGACAAAAAGTAGTACATGAACAAGTTAAATGGACGGATTTGTAAATATACAATATTCAAAGTGCCCGGCGTCGCGGCGGTCCGCGTTCGCGCGCCGCCCCGCGCCAACCCGCGCGGCGCCGCGTTCGACGTCGCGCTCGCGTCCCCCGCCCCTCCCCTCCTTTCGCAATTATGTACTGGTGGCATTATAACCGTTTAGAAAAAGGAAAATGGATAAAATAACACTAGTTCACTTCTGAAACTGCTTTTTAATGTCCAAGTAATGGGAATTATTGTGTATGGTGTTATTGCATGCATCCCACCCATAGTGGAATTTACCAGGTGCCACTGCTTTATTTGAAAATTTGCGTATAAAATGTGACTATAAGGCAGCCGAATGTCAGAAAATAAAGCGAGAAAGCCATTATTACTTCATCTGTTTATTGCGACATGGTTCCATGCAAACATTTTAAGGTTTTCCAGCAATGTTTTTAACATATATTAAAAAGCATGCAGAAAAAATTCATACAAAAGCGCTATGTCCAATATGCGGAGCAGTTTTTAAAGACGATGCTTTTCCTATATTTTGTTAGACTTTTCATAAGTAAAAATATTTTGTGAATTTTACTTTCTTCATATGAATTATATCACATTTTTGGTTTAATTCAAGGCCTCTCAAACAGGTTTAGAGCATTTGAGCAAAAACAACATTTGCCTGTATTTTGTTGTTGCTTCTGGTATCGAAGGTGCCAAAAACTGTTCTGGGCTCGAATCGTAACATCCGTTCACGGATCGAAAACGATACGAAAGAAAATTACGTGATACGTCAGGCATAAGCTAAATTTGACAAAAAGTACGTTCACGTATGTCTAAATCCGAAAAATGTGTTTTTACGTGACGAGTAGTACGATATCGTATGTGACGATTCGAGCCCTGATTTTTTTCTTCTACATCAAAGCGTGCCATGCGAAATACGAAAAGGATAAAAATTTTAAATTGAAAAAATTAAAATTGTTGCAACTTTCTTTCTTAGTAAATTGGTTCGCTTCTCGAAGCATTGATCCATCCTGTGCCAGGCCCAGTAATCAGCGGTTGTGCTGCTGAATTGGGCGAGCGTTCCAAAAGCTGCTATTTAATCGCTGGTTTTGTATGGAAAATGTTTCACATGTAAATAGATTTTAACAATTTAGAATTTTTGTGAGAAGAAATTAAAAATATTTAACATTTTCGAGAACAAATAACTTGAAAAAAATCAAATCAGCTGCTATACTGATATTACCTGTTCAATGTGCCTTGGTTTAATTGTGTTTTTGGAATAAACAAAGTTCTTTTTCCTTCTGTCAGTAAACTGTTTTTTTTTACAAATAGTATAAATAAGCAATGGGAAATAAGGCAAAATTTGTTTTATTTCCAACCTTTGTTGGAAATAAAGCAAAACTCAGATTTTGGTATAATTTTTCCATTTAAAAGTTTGTGTTATTTGGAAAGAGGTCGCTGCGCTTCTATAAGCCGCATGGGCAATGTGTACATTTTTTAATCTTAAAAAAAATTTTAAATGCTATAATCACTTTTTTAAAGCTTTTCTACCTAAATAATATATAGCAAATATCTTAAAAAAGGCAAAAAAAAAGGCAAATATCTTAAAAAAGGCAAAAAAAGGCATCATCAAATGTGTATATATGGAATCAGGGAAAGCTAAATCGTTGACATTCTTAATCGAATATACTCTATCTCTTTAGCAGAAAAAAAGGCAATTTCCATAATATCCGTACCCTGCTCATAACCATTTCTTTATAATATTCACTTTTGTGAGTTTATAACATAACTAAAAAAAAAAAATAAAAAATATGAGCAAAACTGAGAATCCACAAGTCCAGGTTGAGGACACCAAGGCTTTAAAACGACAAAGGTCGCTTTTAAAGAGGAGCATACAGCGAGTAAATTCGGGCATTCTGGTTAAATCAATTTCGACTAATCCAGAAGAATTAGAGTGCCGGCTTGACATGTTGAACGCAAATAGCGAAAAGCTCATGAAATGTCAAGCCAAAATTGAAGAAATAGATGAAGAGGACATGACCCGAGGAGAGTTAGAGGATATAATTGTGTAAACGAAAGCCATTATAAAATCAATTTTAGCGAAGAACAAAACCTCGTTTGCCGAAACCTCATTTGTAGCGCCTCACAGCTCAAGACTCCCAAAAATGAATTTGCCAAAGTT